TTCCATGAAACACTTGTATAAGAGAACCAAAGATATTCATACATTTCACCGCGATTTGTTATCGAACCAAATCTTAATACATATACTTCTTGCTTTATTTGTTGAAAATTTTAATACATGTTACAAATCACAACACTCGTACTCATTATTTTCGAACTGGAATACTTTGTTCATTCCTCCAAAAGTTTATATCATCGTATAAGGATTTAATATCCACTAACCTTTCGAAATTGTTTTTGAAATATTTAGCCCCATAGATTTTACCTTCTTCGTACGTGGAATTAACACTTGACCCTATGTCAAGATCACGGTAATTTAAATACGCCTCCCTCGGATTACTAGACACGTACGGAGTCATGAATTCGTACATCTCTTTTGCGCGTGCCAAATGATTCTTCTCCACGTCATCTCCAGCTTCGGACCAATCTATAACGTACTCAATGTTAAACAAATTACCAGCTCTATGTGGGAACGGTGTCCTCGAACTCGGGATCTCACCCATTCTTCCTCCGTACGGATTCCAATTCATTTCAACTTTCTCAACCTCCACCAGTTTCTTAAGCATTAAACCGAGACCGGTTCTCGAAATCGGACGCTTCACGAAGTCCGATTTCCGTTTCATGAACATTTTTTTCGTGACCGTCGTGTTCAGCAGCACGGAAGTCGGTGTGCCGATCGGATAACCGGCCCAAAACAGAACCGAATCGATCCATCTCATCTCGGTACAATCAGTTTTCTTCAGCTTCAATTCCGGGAAACTCCGGTTCATCACGTTCAATAGCTTATCCGACCGGCCTAAATACATCCCAATAAAAGAGGCTAAAACCGCCTTCTCACCGGGCTTCGTACCGTTGACCAAAGTCAACGTAAGCCTCACGAACAAATTCCGATCCGTACTTGAAGCGAAACTCTGCCACTTCATTATAAGATCAACGGCTCCTTCTCCAACGGTTTTCCGGACGCTAAAAACCGTAACTTTCTGCGGCACCGGAACCAACCGGATTTTGTATCCCAACACGATGCCAAAACTCGCAGCACCACCTCCTCGAACCGCCCAAAAACGATCTTCTCCCATCGAAACCCTATCGGTGTAGGTATTACTGTTCGAATCGACAATCGCGGATCCGACAACGTTATCGACCGACAATCCGTACTTCCTCATCATCGTACCGTACCCTCCGCCGCTAAAATGTCCACCAACTCCCAAAGTCGTACACAAACCGGCCGGAAATCCAAGAACGTTGCTTTTCTCGGAGATTCGATGATAAAGCTCTCCGATCGTAGCTCCCGTATCGACCCAAGCCGTTCCTTCCGTGAGATTCACGTCAACAGATTTGAAACTGAACATGTCGATGATGAAGAACGGGACGGTGGAGGTGTAAGAGAGTCCTTCGAAATCGTGACCTCCACTTCGGATTCGGACATGGAGAGAGAGCTCTCGTGCGCATGCTAGAGCTGTCCCGATATGTGACCACGTGGAGGCGGTTACGATGGCTAAGGGTTTTGGTGTGGTGGGTTTGTCGAAACGGAGGTTGGGTATTCTACGGCGGAGGACGGCGGTGTAAGAGGAGTTTGTTGGGATGTAGGTGACGTCGGAGGTAAAATCCGGTGGGTTTGATCCTTGTCGTATGATACATCGGAGGAAAGTTGTTGGATCGGTCACGGACTGTGAAGTTGCTAGTGTAACTGTGATTAGTAGCAGATAAATTACGAGTAAATTTTCCATGTTTTTTGGTTGATGTTTATTTTTGGAAGTACTTTGGATTATGTATTTTTTTGTAAGTGTTGTGTGTGTGTATTTATATAGAGAAGTTTTTAGTGATCCAATCTGTACGACTAAATTATCTATGTGAGTGTTCACTTGTTATATTACTTTTGCAAAAAATCCGCTGGCAAAAATATATAAAAAAACGGAACCAATCCATTTTTTGTTGTTTCTCTTTTGTAATTTGAAATCTCTTCTTGTATTTAGCGGTGGATTAAGTATTACAGTATTATTCAACAATTTAAATGTCTGCGACAAAAGAATAATAATAAAAAAAATACAATTATTCAACGTCAAAGCTTGCAAAGACATGAATCTGAGTCCGACCAGGGCCGTATATAAGGGCTAATAATGCAAAAACGGATGTATACAAACATACGATGAAATGAAGCATTCATCAATACATCATATTAAAATTCTAAAGTAAATATTGCTACGCAATTATAGAAATGAATGAATGGAGTATATTTATTCAGTTAATAATTATATCATATTCACTTGCATCTAAAATTGGATCAATATGCCAAAATAGATGAACCAAACTAGCTAAATTCTGATTAAGACTAGGTCGAATCATTATTTTTCAGACTACATTTAATTTAGACCAGTCTGCATTATTCTAGTTCTCAATAAAGTAGATTTAACTGGACTGGTTAATCTAGCAAAACATTGTGAATTTAAATCAGGCAAAGAATTTTTTACGTATCATTTAAACCAAAAAAAATCTGTTACCACTACAAAAATTTTAAATGGCAGAAGAAAAACACGTTTCTACACAGGACTACAAGTAAGATTATAATAGGTTTGGTATGAGATTTTTGGTTCTATAAAAGAAACCAAAATTACAGCTATGTAATTAAATGTTATAGTTGACTAAATATATTTGACTTTGGACTATAGATCAAAACCAAAAGTTTGACTTTGACTTGACATATTGTCGTTGTATTTAATATTTATGAGCAGTCCTGTACGCGATAGCCGATAACGTGCACTCAGGACTAATATAATGCAGTACGAATCGAGTAATTTTATTTTTATATAACTTAAAATCCGTTAAAGAATTATGTATATGATCAGATCTGTGTATCGTGCAAGTCTTATTTATCAAATCCCGTGTTGTCCGTTAATATAGAGAGAACGCTGAATATTCTTGGTCGATAAGTGTGTACACACATACATGTTGCACGAGAGAGCATTTTCAATGGGAATTTCTTTTTGAATATCTAAAAAATAAAATAAAAAAGAAATTGGGTTGTGTAACCATAAAAAAAAAAAATTCAAAATCTAGTCAAAATTTCCTATGTTGTAACATTCTAGCCATTGGATCTAGAAGTTTTAGCTAGATTTTAAAATATATATTTTTTGGGTTATAGAGCTAAATGACCCTAAAAAATCATAAAAGTAGAAAAGATGGAGAGATGAATCTACATGTAGAACTCAATTGGAACATCTCTATTAGCAAGCATCTCAATAAGATACCTTGAAACATTTTATACTAATTTAATATTGTTCTTTTTAATATAATTTAGTTATGTTGGTAAAATTAATGTTAAAAACAAAATTGGACCAATAAAATGATGACAAATGTGATAAAAGTCTCTCATGGATATCTTATTTGAGAGACTCTTACCATGAGTCTCTTATTCTCTTTCTTTCTTCTTTTTTCATATTTTTAATATTAGAAACTCAATTGCAAATTATCATTCTTTAAGAGCATGATCAATGGTAGTGTTTAGTGATTTTTAATGGGTTTCTAAAAGATTAAAAACAATTAAATAATACACAAAATACTTAGAATCCTAATAAAAATGTTCAAATTTTAGAGATTTAGAACCCCAAATTTTAGAGATTTAGAACTCCAAAAATAATTTATAATAAAAAAAAATCACTTAGAACCCCAAATTAACAAACTACCATTGATTG